CATCTCTTTTGAACAACATTGGCAAAGATGAATAACTGAACATGATCTTCACCAAGTCTAAAATATTTGATTTTTGCATACTGCAACTTCATTCAACTAACGCGTTCTTAGAGTTGACAGTTACGAAAACTATCCCCTCTTAAATCAGGTACGACCTGAACTTAACAGACAGGTCGCCAACACTTTCGTCAGACCAAAGTGTTTTTGATTTAAACACCTACATGCTTTTCTGCCTCAGACTAAACCTCTTGGAAACTTCCAAAAGCTTTAGACTTATGGCGCACTTGGTTCATCTGTCCAAATCCAGAGTAAACATTCATATAATGAAGTACTCATCACCTCTTCTGGTCTGAACACTAATTGGTCCACATACATTAGTATGTACCATTTCCCGTTGAACAGTTGCGCAAATCTTATTGGCCCCTTGTAGGATTGCTTAGCCATTTTACCTTCCAAAATAGGACTAACATGTAGCTGTTAGTTAAAAGATTCTTGAACTTTCAGTCCCTCTTTTAACTAAAACAGGTTTCCTACTTGAGGTAATGTAACTCAATCACAAAGGCCAAAGTTATGTTTCATTTGAAACTTTTATTTCTTTGGTGAAAATTCTTGTTCATCATCCTTTCCATTCAACATAATAAATTAAATGGGATATATAACTCAAGTAATAAAGACAATTTAATATACCGGAATAAAAGAAGATGAACTTCTTATTGAAACTGAGGAATTAAATTGTACTATTAAACCATGTTTTCACAAAACAACTAACAGAAATAAAATTCCTCTTCAAATCCGGAATAATTAAACAGTCATCCAAAACTAAAGTCTTAAATTATCAAAAGATAAAATAACTTGTTCTACTGCTTATGCAGACACAAGCTCTCATTTTCAAGCTTAAAATATCTTTGTCCACTGCTGACAGGCCTACCATGTTTGAACTACTGCAAAAAGTAACAAACATAACCAGTGATTCCTGAATCAATGATTCATTCACTGATCAGGCCTTAATATACCCATGTCTGGTTCTTTTCATCACCTCTGGGCAATTTTTCTTTCAGTGTCCTTTCAGTCTGCACTTGAAGAACTTGCCTTGCGGCTTCTTTATAACAACTTGTTTGATAACCAAGTTATTTTGTTCTTGTTACCACCCTTGGGTTTTTCCTTGGATTTAACAAGACTTTTAGCAAAACCTGCGTTGACTGCATTCTGTCTAGCAGAGTTGCTAGACACAACAAACATGTCATTAAGAGTCCGAAGCATCTCTACTCCACTCTTAACCATGTACATTTGCTTATGCAAGTGTTTGGAAAGACCGACAAGAACATAATAGCGAACTACCATATTTGTCATTTTCCAATCTGAGTATTGCGTCCTTAGACACATCCTCTGCAGGTTACTATGGCCCTTGTACTGTCAGGACAAATTTTAGCTTTTCATGTTTAAGAACAACATCAAGGTTCCTTTTTCATTCTTCATAGTTTGTACCATCTAGAGGTTTTTGACTCAAAATCATGGCTATAGGATTGAAGGAAGTCATTTTCTGAAAAAACATACAAAGCACACAATTTATAAACAAATAATGCAATAAACAAACGAAGTACAAATAGATTCTCATAACTACTCTTGTTTATTGTTAACAATCCTTCAGTTTATCTTTACAAGGCTTACGATGGGCAAGTCACTTGCAAAAATCAAAATTGTTATTTGGGCCTTCAGTGCCATTGCCAGAGCCTCGATGGGAGGGTTAACAATTTTACCAAAGTTGAATGTAATTAACCATTGTTTAATTTCAAAATTATCCTTAGTGTCTAAGCATTGCCGACGATGGGTCGTACAATACTTTACTAAAATTTTGAAATTATTAAGATTTAATCTAGTAAAATCTGATTATCCTAATCTGATGGGGCTTCAGCGATAACCATTTCACTAATAAACCAACAAATGGAGCCCGCAGGTTTTAAAATTAATTATTTAATTTTTAAAACCTTCACCCATTCAACATTTTTATTTGAGAATTTTCATAAGCCTTGTCGAATTCAATGTTTAATTTCAAAATTATCTTTAATAACTTAGTATTATCGACGATGGGCCGTACAATACTTTACTAAAATTTTGAAATTATTAAGGCCCAATAAAATCCAATCATGCTTATCCGTTGGGGCCTTACATGATTATTTTATTGATAGGCCCACAATGCGCCTGGAGGTTAAATTAATTTCTTAATTTAAATCTCCTCCCATAATTATTTAGGTCCAATCTAATAAAATCCAATCATGCTTATTTGATGGGACTTCACATGATTATTTTATTAATGGTCCTATAATGCGCTTGAAGGTTAAATTAATTTCTTAATTTAAATCTCCTTCCATTCAACATAAGCAATATTTTCCAATTTCCAAGAATTATTTAATTGAGAGTATCCTTTGTTTGATTTCAAAATCTATGTAGGTAAGAGCGCCGATGAACGTGCATCCCTTAGCTTATCTGAATTTTGAAATCATTAAGGTCCTAAAATCCGGTCATGATAGGTAGCGTGTGCTTCACACAATCATGATATATGATTGTGGTATGCAGCGTGTGTTTAACACATGACCATTTTAGTTGACCCACAAATTATTCGCAAAATAAAAGAATTATCTTAGGAAATTTTCTTACTAATTGTCTTGATTTTAAAACTCCATAAATAATCAATTTGATTATTCTAGATTTTAGCAAAATCATAATAATTAATTAATTTTTGAAATCAATATAATCATTAATCTAGATTTTGTTTCTAAAATCATAATAATCATAATTTTATTTTACCGGAATATTTAAAATCAAAAACTACGCGCATACGGTAATGACATAATAGTAAATATGCACGTATGACATGTGATCATGCAACAATATGGCACATTTCTATCCTATATGACATGTTATTGCAAATATCATGTTAATCGCACCTATAATTCATACCAATCAATAAAAGCATTAAATAATAAAATCTAATTACTTTAATCCATGGCCTTTTTATTTTAAAGAAAAATAAAAAATAAAAAAAAATATTACAACTTTGGAATTCGACTTTCGCTTAGCCCATAGTATCTGTCTCAAGCCCCTTTAGGGTTTTCATGGGCCCAAAAGCCCAAAGACCCAATCCTTTGGCGAGAAACCCTAGGACGCGAAAGAAGAACCCTAGCCGTCAGGTCTGCCGCACCATCAACCGAAGTCAACTCAGGCCGAAACTCTAGGGGAAGGACCGCCACATAGAGACGAGTGCACCACCGCCGGAACCACCCAAAAGGTGGTCGGACACTCCGTCATGCTCTCTTTCTTTGCCGGAGAGTGGCGGCCACTCGCATCCGCTTGTGACGGCGTGTGGAGGTGCGTGGAGGCTCCGGTAAAGGCGATCCACCCACCGTTACGTTTGTATTTCCGTCCTCTTTCCAACCATATATGGATCACCCCATTCTGAGATCGGGAAGTCCTCAAAAAGTCTCTGACAGTGCTGACTGCGCATCTTCCTCGCGGTTTCTCGATCTTGAACTTTTACAAAATATTGGAAAAGTAAACAGAAATTCCGAAAAATAAATAAAAACAGCAAGGAGGAACGTCAGATGATGAACACACCACGAACGGTCGCAATTCCGCTCTACGGTTGATCTTCCGGTCTATGACTCAAGGGGATCAGGGGTCGTGTGGGCAACCGTTCAGATGATGAACGTCTGCCTCTTTGGTTGTGTTTCTGATGGATGTCAGTAACCCTAGGAGGCACTAGAGAAAAGAGAATTTATATACTCTGCCCAATCCAAAACTAACCCTAAGCTTCATGGGTTAAAATTTGGACTTTGGACTCACTCTCACTAAAGCTATTGGGCTAAAGAGCATACTAAATCCAACAGGAACTTCACTTTTAAGTTGAAACTTACTTTGTCTCGATGTTCAGTTTTAGCTACACCCAGTTTACAATTGTTGTTCCATTATTAAATATAAGTTTTTTTTTTGGGTATGAATTTTATGGTATAACCATTCAACCTCCTCCAGTCACGTTATCCTCGGATTACAGCCCCAAAGACTGCTTCCTCATTAGAGACTAATCTCCCAATCGAGGCCTCTGACTCCCAAAAATTTTCCAAAAAATTATTTGAGACAGATTTGAACCTTTGACCCAAACAAATCTTTAAGAGTTCAGTTGTCAGCTGAGCTACCTTAAGGGTTATTAAATATAAGTTTTCCCGGTGAAATTACTTTGCTTAGGATAGTCTATCGTATACTTTTATTCTATGTTCAATTACCATAACGTGTAGCAATTTGGGTCAAACACGGGGGATTACAATGATGATAAATGCACAAATAAATATATAGATGTATACATTTATATATTGCCATAATTAATGGACGTGAGACGGGCATAGACTGCAAAAGATATGAACTCGTGACATTCAATTCTAGAATGAATATGTTTGACTAAGATTTAATAATCATGATCTTTCCAACTTAATGCAAGAATGAAAATTAATCCTCTAGCTGGACATCTTTCTGGAATAGTAAGGATATTATAATACATGATAAAAATATAAAGAACGAAATACATTATTCATATATGATTCATGAGTCATTACTTCCACAATATATAGAGACATCAAGACCGTGCGCTTTGATTCCAGGAATTTGGTGGAAAAAATGTTGTCATGGTATAATGTATGACTACTTAAAGAGTACCTACAATTCGACTGAATAGCTCATCAAGAAACTCAAATGATGGAATAGAATGACTGGATAATACGGTAGGATTGTAGCGCCAAAAACAATCTATGTTAACCGTTAACCTTCGAAATTTTCAGGACAGATTTTTTAAGAAGCAAGCAGAAATATAACATCCCTCATAAAATAATTCTAAGCTTTTGGAGCAAATGTGTGAATTAACAGCTATGATCTTGAAAATTACACTTAAATGACATTATCAACTACTTAAAAAACAAAAGAATCTGTTATCAAAAAAAAAAAACAAACAAAAGAATCCAAGTCAAACATTTGTATAGGACAATAAAAATCAAAGTCAGAATCGAAGTTCAAGTTTCAGTAAAAAGATTGAGTTCATTGGACTACGAACTTTTGAATTAAACAACACTATTCAACGGAACCAGTGAGTCTATTAGCTACCAATATGATGTTAAGGATGACTGCCATCCTGTCTTTGGTCATCCAACCTCTGAAAAGGCACATTATTACTCGTTTGCCCAGGAGCATTTGTAACACTACTCAGATTCCTTCCTTGCAAGGGTGAAAAACTCATGTCATATATATTAGGAGGCCTTATAGCCTGCCTAAAAGGTTCAACACCCTCATTCCTACTCAGATTCCCTCCTTGCAAGGGTGCAAAACTCATGTCATTCCAAAGCAGTTGGTCAAGCTCCCCAAACATTGGAAATCCCAGTAAACTATTTTGATTATCATAAACTAAGGCTGATTGGAAATTACGTTGATCATTGGTTGAGTTGTTTAAGTTCTGTGCATGATCCAATTGAAGAGTTGCAGAAGAAGGCAACTCTGGCACAACAGCAGGAGTGTCCAATCTTCTAATCATCCCACCAGGTGAAGAAGATCTAAAAGCACTGACGTTATTAACTTGTTGAGTTGGCTTAGAGCTGATTTTGTTCAGACTTTTTCTATACTTCTGCAGCAATTGCAAAACCAAACAAAGTTATGTGAATGACAAAACTTTGGTTTTATGAAATTAAAGCAGAAAGGAAAAGAAAAACACACCTGAAGATGGCTGGCCACATTCGCCCTAGTAAGCTCCTCAACCTTCATCACTTGAAGAACTTGTTTAGTTACAGCCTCTTCAATCAAAATAACACAATTCAGTAACAGAAAACTCATGACACTGCGTTAAGACTTAATTATAATGGCATGATATTTACTCCAGTGGCATTTATGATAAAGAAGAGTACTAGAAAAAGTATTCAAAATAATGTTGAACAAAATTTTCATGTCATAATCTTTTTAGCATTGGATTGCTAATAGCTACTCAAATATTCAATAAAAGAATTGCTAAAATAAAGTAGAAACATCAATTGTTTGACCTCTTGTAGCAATTGATATCAATTAAGATAACAACTGTTTTGCATTGTGAGAGAGTGAATAACTTACTGTCAACACCTCCTAACTGATTAACAGCGGCCAAAAAACTCTGGTGCAGCTCCTCCGTCCAAATAACCCGATGCTTCTTTTGGATTGCTTTGTGCTCCTTGTTATGACCAAGCTCTTTATAGTCGTCATCCTCATTTTCTTCCTGCTTCTTAGAATTAATCTTCTTTTTGAATACATGCTGCCAAATATTCTGCAGCTCTTCCATTCTAATTGGTTTCTGCAAATAATCACATGCTCCCAGAGTAACTGCTTCCATCGCCAACTTTCTGTCATAATCAATGGAGAACACTGAAATAAAAAATTTAATAACGTCAAAGGATCATCAAACAACAAAATGAAGCCCCAAATTATAATACCCTGAGAAAATCTTTCTAAGTTCACTTTTAACTCGCACATCTAAGTTTCATATTTATTAATCAATTATGAATCTCACCCAAAATCAAAATGAAAAGCAAAACCACCATGCGTAACAATTTGTTTTACGCTCTACAAAAAAAGACCCAAAATCCCATAAATAATTGACAGTGATGAAGTAAACAAAATGTAATTAAATTATGGGTGTTGATTTTCTTCTGTTGTTGCATATGAAATCAACACTTTCCCACAGACCCATCGAATCTCGAGCTTTCTTATTTTTATTTTTTGGACTTTTTTAAACTTATGGACCCTACAACATTTTGTGAGTGCAGGAATGGGATTTTGTTTTTCTGTAAAAGGAGAAAAAAATATCCCTTAAATTATATAGAACCATAAAATCAAAATCGCAATAATTGAAAAAAATAAAAATAATAAGAACAGTAGAAGATTACATATAAAATTATCACATACATATAACAGGTATGTCCATAGGTTGCATGAGCTTAAGCAGCTTAAGTCCTTCAATTTCAGGCATGTGTAGTTCACTGATCACAAGGTCAAACTTGTTTTCTCTCAACATCCTCAGTACTGTCGTTGCATCTGTAGACGTTGTTACTGCAAAGTCCATAATTACAAAAAAAATTATTCTCTATGAACAAAATGAAATATCGCAAATACAAGCATAACACAAAACTATAAAAATTTCATTAGATGATTTCCATTCATAGGAAAGTAGTTACATCCTGCATTTGAAGCCAATAATTTAATTGAACACAACGTGTCACAAACAATATCAAAGAATGATAAAAATTAAAAATAATTTTATTAATTAATAGTAACATTGACAGGACATATGTAAAAAAAGAAGATATTAGACAGGAAAATGACTCAACTTCATTGATAATTGAGTAACAAAGAAATCAATAAAAGAATTGTTAAGAAACTAAAAGAATCAACTTGACAAATTTAATTTATTAAAAAGATGGAAAAAAATGTTATAATTCCAAAAATAATACGTCTAGACCAAAAAATACAAAAGTATACAATAAAAAGGCTACATCCTCATTATTTTCAATTTTTCAGGAAACTGAAAAAGTAAAGAAAAGAAAAGTAAAGCACAACAGAAGGTGCAGACCGTGGTAACACAATGTTTCAAAACCAACACTAAAGAATTAGGATAAAAATTATAAATAATTATATTGATTAATAGTAGCAGTTACTAGATATAATGTACTAAAAATAAAATATTTGACGGGAAAATGATAAATATCAGTGATAATAATTTCACACAAATATATACAGGAGTATACAAGTGTTAGTTAAAGAAATAAAAGATTTTTTACATAAGAAACCAAAAACAGAAAAAAACTGACACAATCAACTGGACAAATTTAAATTTATAAGAAAAAAAAATCTTTTTTATTCCAATCAAAAACCCACATCTAAATATTGTCAGAAAAATATAGAAATTAAAAGATATATATATATATAATATATATATATATATAATATATATATATATATATATATATATATATATAATTAGAGGAAGGTTATACTTACAACCTTTTTTTTACAACCTCTTACAACCATATCTCAACACCGTTGATTTCCGTCAATCAACGGTTATCATTTATTATTAATTAATATTTAATTAATGAGTTTAATTTGTGAAAATCAAAATCGTTGATTGACAGAAATCAATGGTGTTAAGATATGGTTATAAGAGGTAGTAAAAAAATGATTGTAAGTATAACCTACCTATTATATATATTTCCAGAACTTAAAAAAACAAATATTCTATGTTTCTTTTGTTAGATGAAACACTAACTTAAAAAAGGACGAACTCAATCTGAAAAATTCAAATTTACAAAAAAATAAAAATAAATTGTTATTATTCCAGTGATATGTTGTCTGGGTCGAAAGAAACAAAAGCACACAATAAAAAACCCACATCCTGTCCATAAAAAAGAAAAAGAAAACCCACATCCTAAATATTTTCAAGAAAAAAGAAAAGGAAAGAACACAACCAAAAAGCCACACCCTCAATATTAGCAGTGTTCGCGGTCTGAATTGGATCGATTTTGGAAGCAAAAATCATTTGATTCAATCCCTTCGATTTGATCACATAATCATCCATTCGGTTTGGACTTTTTTCAAATCCGATCCAATCCAATTTTTTTCGGTTTGGATTGGATTGGTTTTCGATTTTTTGAAAATCCTAAAACAAAATTCTTGATTATTACTCAAATAACATCTTTTCAGTCTATTTGGATCTGAGTGGAGTTTTTATTTTTCTTATCACAATCACAAGTCTTGGAATATGTGAAATATGTTTGGAATATGGAATTCAATATATATGTTAGATGTAGAATTCATTTTCTATATTTCTATATGAGAAATGTACAAATAAACATCTTATCTTTGAGCAAGGAATCCTCGTATAAATGATTAACAATACATAAGAATTACTATAATTCTATTAAAACTTACAAAGTCTTTTTTTTTCGTGTTTTTTTAGTTGACATAGATTAAAGTAATCTAATAAAATAATAAAATGAGTATGATGCGTCAAGAATGGTCGGGATAGCTCAGCTGGTAGAGCAGAGGACTGAAAATCCTAGTGTCACCAGTTCAAATCTGGTTCCTGGCACATAATTTGTTTGTATGAGTATCTATTCCCAATATTTATCTGAATAAATATAAATTTAGGGAATAGATACATATTTATTTTTATATTAGTGGTTTATATCATGCTATATTTTTTTTCATCTAGGTGTTTGGAGATATACTCTTTTTAAATGAGTCAAGAGTAAGTGTATGTTCTAGGTATATTCTGTATATAAAAAATGAATTTAAAAATAAATTATTCGATTTTGTTTGCCTTTTTTTCTTCGCTGCAAGAAAGAAGATTAATACTTTTTCAAGAATATTCAAATGGTTAGATTTGTTGGTTGAAAGACAAAAAAGTCTAATCTAGGGAAGTTCCGGGGTTTGAATAGTCTAAATTCATCTCAGATAAATTATAAATATAATCCGGCTAGTTTATTTTTATTTTTCTCATTTACATTTAATGAGCATCTTGTATTTCATAAAAATTAGGGGTAATATAATCTTTACGCAACGGCCATCCTATCCAACTTTCTGGCATTAAAATACGTTTCAGACGCGGATGATTATCATTAAAGATTCCCAACATATCATAAGATTCCCTTTCTTGAAAATCCGCACTTTTCCAAACCCAAAAATTAGAAGGAATTCTGGAGTTTTTCCTCGGGACAAAGATTTTTATACATACCTCTTCTGGTTGATCTATGCAATACTCTATTCTTGTAAGATGATACACACTAGCTAACAGTCCTCCCGGTGATACATCATAGGCACATTGAGAACGTAGATAATTGTAACCATATACATACAAAATGACAGCAATGGAATGCCAATCTTCGGGCTTTATTTGTAAGGTTTCTATTCCGCGGTAATCGAAACCCAAAGATCTATGAACTAGTCCATGTTTGACTAGCCAAGCAGAGAAACTACCCTGCATTTTTTTTACTTCTCCTGCCCTTTTTTATTTTGAAGTTTGGTATAAATATTTCTCATTTTTATTGCGATGAAATTTTTGAAAATTGACTTGCTATTTCTTCTTTTATTTTGTACCAAAGTCTCCTACCTAATTCACCACTTTGTGGGAGGATACTGAACTTTTTTTATAGGAAAGTAGATGATTTTATTAGATGATTTCCATTCATAGGAAAGTAGGTACATCCTGCATTTGAAGCCAATAATTTAATTGAACACAACGTGTCACAAACAATATCAAATAATGATAAAAATTAAAAATAATTTTATTAATTAATAGTAACATTGAGAGGACATAATGTAAAAAGAGAAGATATTAGACAGGAAAATGACTCAACTTCATTGATAATTGAGTAACAAAGAAATCAATAAAAGATTTGTTAAGAAACTAAAAGAATCAACTTGACAAATTTAATTTATTAAAAAGATGGAAAAAATGTTATAATTCCAAAAATAATACGTCTAGACCAAAAAATACAAAAGTATACAATAAAAAGGCCAGATCCTCATTATTTTCAATTTTTCAGGAAACTGAAAAAGTAAAGAAAAGAAAAGCACAACAGAAGGTGCAGACCGTGGTAACACAATGTTTCAAAACCAACACTAAAGAATTAGGATAAAAATTATAAATAATTATATTGATTAATAGTAGCAGTTACTAGATATAATGTACAAAAAATAAAATATTTGACAGGAAAATAATTAAATATCAGTGATAATAATTTCACACAAATATATACAGGAGTATACAAGTGTTAGTTAAAGAAATAAAAGATTTTTTACATAAGAAACCAAACAGAAAAAAACCGACACAATCAACTGGACAAATTTAAATTTATAAGAAAAAAAAATCTTTTTTATTCCAATCGAAAACCCACATCTAAATATTGTCAGAAAAATATAGAAATTAAAAGATATATATATATATATATATATATATATATATATATATATATATCCAGAACTTAAAAAACAAATATCCTATGTTTCTTTTGTTAGATGAAACACTAACTTAAAAAACTGACGAACTCAATCTGAAAAATTAAAATTTACAAAAAAAAAAAAAAAAAATCGTTATTATTCCAGTGATATGATGTCTGGGTTGAAAGATACAGAAGCACACAAAAAAAAAAAAACCCACATCCTGTCCATAAAAAAGAAAAAGAAAACCCACATCCTAAATAATTTCAGGAAAAAAGAAAATGAAA